TTAAGAGTCTTTTAGAGAAGAATATGAGGCACCATTTGGAGAAGGCAGCAGCTGCTGCCTTGGTGCTCTCATTGAGATGATTCATTTGTGCTTTCCTTTAAGCAATCACTTATCTTGGTGCTATGTTCTTTAGTTTTAGAGAGAAAATTTCTATGTATTTTCATCTTTACACAAACCGATAACCGACCCAAACCAACCTGCCTCTATCAGCTAATCGACCTGATCGGTTCTAAGCCTAGTTGGTTTCGGTTTGCAATTTTGGCCCAACCGACTAGGTCGATTTGCTTTTGGTTTTAGCCCAAAACCAACCCAACCCAAACTAGCCCATGCCCATGCCTACTTGTAGCTATGCGAAGTTTCAAAGTTTTGTGTGATTTGGACTTTTAGTATTCTTATTACCGCAGAAAAAAAAAAAAATTGAACAAGGACGTAGCATAACTCTAAGAGTGTTACACCCTTGTTTGCTGGTCTCAATAAAGTACCTTGGTCTAGTGTTCTCAGTAAAGCACCCTAGTCTAGTGGTCTCAGCAGAGCACCTTTATCTGGTGGTCTTAATATTGCACCATTGTTTGGTGTTCTCAGTAGAGCACCCTGGTCTGGTGTCTTAGTAAAGCACCCTGGTTTGGTGGTCTCAACAGAGCATCCTAGTCAGATTGTCTTAGTATAGCACTGTCCACTAGAGTATAGGCCATTAGATAACTGACCATTTGGAAGAGGTGGTCTATCACTGATCAAAGTGTCTCCTCCATCCAATGGTGATCTAGTCTATAATAAAAAAAGTCTTCCCTCATAGTGATGACGTGGCAACAGTGGACCGAGTCATTTAGGAGACTCGCGTTAACAATAACTAATCATGTGAAGCTTTGCCGTCCTTGATGATGCAAGTCAGCCGTCATAGTCTTGCCTGCTAACTACATTAGAGAAGTAGCAGAGATGAACAATTACCAAATCACGAAATGAATGAAGCTTTTGTATTAAACTCAATGAACTAACTTTACTATCTGTTTACAATAGCTATATATAGCTGACTAGAGGACTAACTAACTCTTTCAACTAACTATTACATCATCCAATCCTTTACAACTGTTTTGATGAGCTGGCAAAGATGAGTTGGCAATGATATATTCAACATCCCCCCCTCAATCTCAACTGGGTTTCCCAGGTTGAGATTGAATGAGCATAACTCAAAATGACCTATTCGGGTTTGAAGAAGAAGATGACTTGGCTTTCGCAAAATCAACTAGATCATTGAAAAGAGCATCTTCCTGTTTTACTTGTTTTGTTGGGGTAGATGAATTAAGGGAGAGATTCTGAGTCTGTCCCACTAAGTTGTCATAAGATGAACCAGATCCGCTGCCTGGAACGCTTTGTTTCTCAAAAAACTGTTTGTCTCTGGTTATACCTGGAAGACGGAGGTGGAAGGCTGACAGGAGAGTGACCCTTGCCAGGAGACTGAGGATTCCCTAGAGACTGAGTATCCCAAGGAGTAGGAGTAGCTCATCTATAGATTTGCTTCTAGGAGTCGGTTCATCATATACAGGCTTTCTCGTGAATATAGGTGATGGAGTTGTGTTTTGGGAAGAAGGGGGTGAGGGTGATAGTGGAGTTAATCGTGAGGTGGAGCTGGAATGAACTGGAGCTGCAAAGGATGTGGATTCTGATGTTGCAGATGATCTTTCATATTTGTAGGCTTTTCCACTGAGATAATCAATCACACCAGGACCCAGAGTGATTGGCCTTTGCGAATACGGTGGAGGAGGAATAAGTGGGCTGACTTACACAGGTTCAGCCTTGGCATTGGCTGATCTCTGGCCCTGTCCTTATGAATTATCTCTTGATGACCTGTGCGCTAGTTGGGAAAATTCATCCTCGGACTCATCATCCTCATGGTTCACATTCACAAGTGGCACAACTGAAGATTATGCTTCTCTTACTACAGTTGTAGTTCCCTTCACAATATCATCATGCTGAGAAATTACACGCTGCAGATCATCGTTCAGTGCCAATCCCTAACATAGAAGCTCCTCATCTGCAATCTCATTCACAAGAAGCCTGACACGCTTTTGGTATGAACGACACTGATTAACAAGGTCAACAATCACTTCTTCCTTCAAACCCTCAGGATTCTTAGGATCCAAGGCATTAAGCATTTCCATCAACACAGCTGCAATTCTACGAGCATTCTGAATCTCTGGCAAGCTAAGGCTCGATGCATCCGACTGGAGAGAAGCCTGAATGGCAGCATCATCATATGATGTAACAGGAGAAACTACTAGCTAGGTCTGGGGTGGAGTAAATATTGGAACACTGTTCTCTTCTCTTGGTGGAAATTCAACTCCAGCAGACCTCAATTCATTATATGTTGCATAATACTGAGGAAATCGTCCCCTTGGTCCCCCAAAAGCTTCTTGCCATGTATCTATCAAAATTAGTATCTTTTCCCTAACATTCAAGTCTGGCTTCTTCTTTACTATTTTGACCATTTCATGCAAGATATCACGCTCAACGATCTGCTGAAAAACATTCTCACCACAGTTTTTGCTCATAGTCTCCAATGCAAAACTATGAAGTGCTTCTAGTCCATGTACTCCTAGCCCTGCTCCCATCATCAATGAGTCATTTGTTCTTGGTGTTTAAAGGTGTCTCAAATAGCAAACACTAAAATATGGACAAATGGACGCACTGCAGATTGATCCTGAGCTTGAAAATGCATTTAACTGTCACTTGCAGGACCATTGGTTTTGTATCCAGAAAGTGAGTGGAGAGTGGTATAATTTCAACAGTCTTTATGCGGCAACATTGCACCTCTCAAATTCTCAACAACAATATCAAATTCCGAATTTCATATTTCTTCACCATAAGTGCACCAAAAAAACCCAATTCTTCTCAACTCTCTAATGGGTTTCTGTAACAGTCAAATCACATTCAACTGCATGATCTGCACCTTCCTCAAACTGACAGGTATTCAAAAACTTAAATCCATACTTTATAGCTACTGTTTTCTTTGCGATAAGGTTTCCAATATTTCACAATCAACATTTTGAGAAGACCCTCAATTTTCACAAATTCCAACAACAAGCATTACAATAACAGAAATCAAGAAACACAACCTTCTTCGGCAATCGACCTTCAATGAAGAAAGGGAACAAGAACTGCACTCCGGCAATCGGCCTTAATGGAGTTGCACACAATAACAACAAACAAAACTTGTCAAGAACGTTACTCCGGCTATCGGCCTTTAAGGAGTAACACACAATTTTCCGAGAGAACTTTTCACTCCGGCTATCGGCCTTATGGAGGAAGCAAATTGCATTCAACACACTCTTGGCAATTGACCTTATGGAGTGCACAAATCACAAACAACCAAGAACTAATCACACAACAAAAAGGAATGGCTATCAGCCTTTGTATTCTTTCAACAATCCCGCAGAAAATGGCCATCGGCCTTAACAGATAAACTTGCATACAAGAAACAAATTTTCACTGCGGCATTTAAGCAAACAGATAGAGTGCAGAATATACCTAGACAAAATTATCAAAAATGAGAAGATTTCGTGCCTTCTTCATTGAGACAATCAAACAAACATATGGAGTGCACATATCTTTTCCCTGTTGAAATACCCAAATTTGAGCACCAAGAACATCCTACACAAACAGAATAAGAACACAATTCACAAGCTTTCAAGAACCTGTAGCCTTATACGGTGCCCTGTAAGCCCAAGAAGCCATCGCATCAGAAGAAATGCCTGAACAACGATCAAGAACAAAGTTCAGCCCAACAACGAAAGAAACAAACCTTTTCGAGCCTAGCAATAGGATGATCCGGGACCATTCGACTATGTTCTTGGCATTAGAAACATCAGAAACCATGTTGAAATTGGAATCACAGGCTGGCGATAGGATAATATCCCAACCCTGATTAACATCGCTCGAATCCAAAGTGGATGATGGGCCAAGAACACCGTGAATTGAAATCGGTCCGTCAAGAAACAGATTCAGGTACCACACTTCTTTTCTCAGGCTTTCCTTCGAACACCTTGTGAACATGACTTAGGGTACTTACCTACCGACTCTGTATCAAAATAAGAAAATCGATCCCCAAAATCGATGAGAAGTAAAGATCGGTGAAAATCAATCCCGTTCAATAGAGAAATCTCTTATCACAGTCCAGAAAAATCAACCCGGAAATAAAACAACAATCGCGGAAGCACCTAGAAATTTATCCAAACATCTAATGAAAATTTGGAAAGAACGAAGCTAGAAACAGATGAAAAATAATCGGAAGTGGAACCACCAGAATCAATGGCATGAGCTGGTGGCTCTGATACCATGCTAACTACATTGGAGAAGTAGCAGAGATGAACAATTACCAAATCAAGAAATGAAGGTTCACAGAGAGAAGAGAAATGTGAGAACGAAATGAATGAAGCTTTTGTATTAAACTCAATGAACTAACTTTACTATCTGTTTACAATAGCTATATATAGCTGACTAGAGGACTAACTAACTCTTTCAACTAACTATTATATCATCCAATCCTTTACAACTGTTTTGATGAGCTGGCAGAGATGAGTTGGCAATGATATATTCAACACTGCCAACTAGTAGTTATGAAGGTCCTTGTTGGTAAGAATGCGGTCGCACCAAACACCTATGGGCAGACTCCAAAGAGTTGGTGCCCTGCCATCTTTAGATTGGGTATGGATCTATAGCATGACGCTTTATGGGCGGCCTGGAGAGCCCATGGGCCATTAGTTAAATGCCCATTAATATAGGGGATATTACATCTTATTTTCTTAAGTAATTTTTGGTCTACTCACGACGTTGAAAGTAAAACCGTCACATTAAACATATTGTTCATGTGTCATTCTCCTTTTGAAAGTAGTTAATTTATATATTCACTAGTTACACACGAATTTTATGAGAAGAACAAACCAAACTATAAGCTCGCACATTTTGTTCAATCTGAGCACACTCACCGAACAAAAAACGAGCTAAATGCAAATTGCGTCGATCCGATTTACGGCCCCTTCAAACAACCACGCCATTCCAACGTAGTCGTTTCACGTTGAAGTCCTAAATAGTCAAAGCACCACGCCTCAAGAAAACGGCGTGGTATGACCGCTGAGTGTCGAAACGGCATTGCGTTTTAGACACTTACCCAACAGTCTTCTCCTTCGTCCTCACTGATTCAGTAAAGGTGGGAGCTTAACCGAAGGAGCAACGGCATAACCGCCTACTCAAAAGCTCGGAGGAGTAATGAACGACCTCTCTAATGGCGTCCTGAGAGACCACGGTGGCAGAGCCTTGAAGCCCATTCCGTCTCTGGTTCTCTACATTCTCGTACCCATTTTTTTTCTGGGCCTCTCCGTCTCAATCTTCATCCTCATTGTCGTCCGCAACGCCTTCTTCTTCGTCTTCTTCCTCCTGCTCTCCGTCCTCGTCGCCGCCTTCGTCGTCTGGAATGTACGGCACTGGGCGACCAAAGCTGCCGTCTTTTGGTTCCTCGACTCGGTTCCGGAGTCCGACCTCCGCCTCGCCCAGCACGGACAGCTCGTCAAAATTACTGGGGTACTCATTCTCTCGCCCTTTTAGCTCGTTGTTATGGGTTTTTTGTAATTTTTTATTGGGTTTCTGTATTACTTTCAAAGGTAATAAAATTGTTTTGGGGGTTTTTGGAATGATTTGGTTTTGGGAAATTTAGGTTGGGAATATGTAGTTGGAGTGCAATGTAGAAGTATGTGATTGGTTGCTGAGAAATTGGAGGAAAACGAAAGGGGAAAATTGGGGTGTTTTGTTGATGTTATCTCTGTATGAATGTTTTTGTTATGTGGGGCAGATTGTATGTTCCTGTGTTTGGTTTCTGACATTTTAAACCGGAATAGTTTGAAGTTCTGGAAAATTATTGTTCATAGAAATCGAATGAAGCGCAGCTGAACTATTGGAGAATAACATTAAGTGGCGAAAAATCAGAAAATTTGTTTGGTAGTCATGGAACTAAATTAAAACTTTGGGAGCTTGGATGGTTCAATATTTGTTGCAATAATAGGTTTATGCAGCATTTTCACGTTCTAGTTTTATATGTATATGATACTATACGAACTCATTAGAAATATAGATCATCTTGAAAGACTTTTCGCAGAAGTTTTTTTAATCATTTTTTTTAATGCATACTAGATTACTTATGAAGTAAGGATCTTTATATAACAAGTGGATTGTGCACCTCATATGTGCTGATCTGTAAACTTGTAAATATATGCATCACGGTTAACCTTACCCTTTTTCTTGGTTATTTCCACCGGTTTCTCATCTGTCACTCAGTATGTGGTTTATTCAACATATGAGAGGACGAACTGATAACATGTTGTTCCAATGATTTCAGATTGCATCATGTGGGAGTCTATCCCTTGAATCTTCATATGAAAAAGCTACCGGCTGTATCTATGCCTCTACTCTTTTATATGAATACAGGGGATTAACTCTACAGCCAGGGAATGTCAAGAGATCATGCTTCCAGTGGCATTTAGCATATTGTGAGGTATGAATACTCTTCTGTTGCCATGTGGATCAGCAAGCTGTTGCTTGTCCTAATTAGATCAAATAGGTTGATTGCGTTCATGAGATGGATCAATCATTTGTACTTGTTTCCATGTCCTTTTGTGCTTCGTGTCAATTTATGCGTTTAGTTAACTATCACGATTGGAATGCTTACTTGGCTACTTGGTACGCAGAATGTTAAGTTTAGTCCCCACATCCTTCTGATCATCTTGCACCTCGACTTTGGACTTCATTTGGCCGATGGAGTAAAAAACATGATCCAAATAATTTATTGCTGCCCATTTAGCTCCTTATTTGCTCGTGGCTAAAAATTTTGGTGTATGTTTCTCATTGTTCTCAATTAGAACTTCATGTCTTCTATCCGGGAGCTTTGTCTGATTATGTCTTTTGCTATCTTTTGTCTCCTTTACATTGGCAAGCTTACATCAATTTCACTCATTGTTTTTGTGATGCTCGGTCTTTTGTGCGATGAAGCTTTAGAGGTTTGAAGGCCTCAGGCCTTTCCCTTTTGTTGCCTTGGGATGGCTTATCCTGCATTTTTTAAGCATCTACTGTTTCCTGTAATGGTCAAGGACCCAAGGTAATTGGAGGAAAGATGATGATGGTAAAAAAAAGTTTGAAGATAATATGTGTGACTTGTAATCTATATTTGGCTAGTGATTAGTTCCAATAGTTAATTTGTAATTAGTACAAATAATACACATTTGAAGTCTCTCGTTTGTTTCTATGCTTCGTATGCTTTAATATTTCAAGTTGTTTGTGACTTTGCCAAATCGAAACTTCTCAAACGTACTGGTGTAATTAAACCAACCAAATGAATCTATTATTTTCTTTTTGTAGATAATAAGAAAATTTCTGCAGATCTTTTTGTCTAAAATTTTTATTTGCATTTCTATACTAGTATCTGAATCATGAAGAAAATATCTGTGTACTTAGAATTGTAATTGTTTTTTTTTCTTCTTCGGCTTTCCACCTGACAGAGATTCTCCACAGACTTTTACTTAACCGATCAAAAGTCTGGTCTTACAGCTATTGTCAAAGCTGGGTTCTGGTTGCAAAGTTATCCCACTAATTGTCGAGAGCAAACTTGTCAACACTAAAAGATGCAGAATCCTCTCTCCTCACTTGAGGAAATGGTTAACTGAGAGAAATCTCTCATCTGAATCCCGTCTACTACGTCTGGAGGAAGGGTAACCTAATTATACATTACAATCTCACTTGAATACCCTGCTGCATAAATGGTTTTGTTTACATTTTAACCTGAGCTTCCTAGGAGCTTATGTACTTCAGATTTGCACGAATTTTTGCAGGTATGTTCAAGAAGGCAGCTCAGTGACAGTATTCGGAATGTTGCATAGAAACAATGACATGACTACAATTGTTCAACCGCCAGAAGTAATCTCAACCGGGTGTCTCTGGCGAAAACTGCTTCTCCCAGTTGACGTAGATGGGATGATCCTAAGGGTCTATCAAACGGCCGCTGGGCATTCAGTCAACCAAGATTCAATACAACAGGCAGAAAGATGGTAGTAGGTAGGACAAGATTTTTGGATGATAACCCAATTCCCTTTCAATATGTACACCTTCAACTAATCACTAATCACCATGCAGACCTTCTACGACTGTACTAAGCTTGTAACATTATTTTGCTTTTGAAAATGAAAACGGCTTTTTTTCCGATTTTTTTCAATGCACTAAAGTATTTTTACTATGTGCAAATGTCTCTCTTCTTTCTTGGTGCAAGAAACCATTTGGCAATTGTTATCCATTCTCGTAATGGGCCAGAAAAACAAATGAAAAGCTCATTGTGTATTTAAACCCATTTACATTTCGATTAAAAAAAATAAAAATAAAAATTCTCATTGGCATAAAGGAAACATTATTGCTAAAACGTAAACGAGAAAACATTTTCGCTAAATACTTTAGCACTTGACCTTTTAAAAAGTTCGTTGTATTTGTAATAAAACCACTCTTAACAAAAGTATTTTTTTTTTTTTTTAAATTACAAAGCATCATTTTTTTTTCATGAAAAAATAAATATATTAAATAAAAAAGCCTCTAATACAACCAGTTCCAATACAGTCAAGGTTAAAAGCTTCTAAAGCTGAAGTGGGGAGGCAATGGTCCCAAAAATGAGGATTTGATACCACCACACCCACATCAGCCATCTTGTCAGCCACAAAGTTGGTTTCCCTAAAAATGTCTCTAGCAAATAGAATTAAAGCTAGCAGCCAGCCATTTAATATCTTCGATGGGAGATAGGAGATGCCAAGAGAGTTTCCATATTCCAGACACTAATTTAATGATCAACGAAGAGTCACCTTCTACCTCTAGTTGTTGAATATTCTTCATTATTGCAAAAATGAGCCCCTCATTTAGGGCCAACACCTTCACCACTGAAATAGTAGCCCCATCCAAATTGCAAGCCCCAACACCCACTGTCAAACCCTGGTAATTTCTCGACACAAAGCCCGCACCAGCCTTTCCTTGAGTCATCGATCCGTCAAAGTTTAATTTAACCCAACCCTGATCTGGGGGCCGCCAATGGATAAGGCCCCTGATGTATCCGATTCTTAGACTCCACATTGTTGACATTTGAATGTGTTTGGGCCAAAAATAATATTATTGGGCCGAGCGTAGGTCTATGTTCGGCCCAAAGCTTTTTCAAATGTACTATGGGCTGTCTGGTGGTCCTAAGCCACTCAGTTAGGGCGGTCGAGTTCTATTGCAAGAAGGAGTGATTTGGATAAGAGCGGATGGGCTGAAGTCCTAGTACGATAAGGGGTCCTAATGCAATGAGGATTCTTGGCCGGAAATGAATACAGCGTGAAAAGGGGGGGTGAGTTCAAAGTCCTAATAGGAGTAGGATTGGTCGAGATAAGGTCGGATCAGAATAAGAAGTCCTAATCCGAATATGGTTTCAACTTGATCTTAAGGAGGATTTGTTGTTATAAATAGAGAGCAGAGTGCATCATTCAAGGGCCCCTTCAATTCAACACACAACTGCCCTACACAAACCTTTCAAACATCTTGAGATTTTTTTTTTATTTTCTTTTTCTGCCAACACTTCTTCAGTTTGGATAAACAGTACTGTGAAGGCAACCGGCGAACACCTTCAGTTTGGATAAACATCACTGTTGCCGTAGAATCAGTCGACCGAGGAGCACCTTCAGTTTGGATAAACAGCACTGTGTTCAGGCTGACTGGTTACCTATCTAAGTCTCGATCGAGAAGGGTTTCTGAATTTTTATCAGTGGAGGTTATCTTATTAGCCTTCTCAGCGAAGTAAGGTGTTACAAGTTACTACATTCGGCACATCGAACGCCGAGTGGTTTTATGATTGGATACTCACAAGTGAGTTTCAGAGTTCGACATTCTGACGGTTGAACCACATTTACCATCAAGAAATACATCTCTTTTGAGTACTTATGTCCGTATAATTTGAAACCAGTTCGATGTGCTCATATTTTACGAATATAATCACCGTGACCGAACCCGGCCCCAACGATTCGTGAACTTCGTAGAACTAGTAGCCTTGTCTTCAGGCTCTAAGATCCGAAGGCCGAGACATGTTCCTTCCTCGACCGTAGTCGCAAGATCAAGAAGTCAGCAACACGCTCAACACAACATCAACAAATTTTATTCCTCGGTCGAGCTCGACCGATGAGTTGGCACGCCCCGTATCAACCGAAGGACATAGTTAGCTCATTAGTTACTCAGCCTGCGCGCCATGTAGGCTTTGTAATTTTTAGGGTCAACATTTTGGCATGCCCAGTGGGACCCAGTGCTAAACCTTCGAAATTCATGACCATTGAGACACGGTCAGTAAAAAAGAAAATAGTCATGGGAAAGTCAACGACCAAGGCCTTGGACAAGATTTGTCACAGGTACAAAATCCCCTCATTACTGTGACACTTGAAGCTGCAAGTGTGACACACCGAGAAAAAGAAGTTTGTCTTGGTAGCCAGCCTTGCAATGTAGAAATTCCTAACAAAACCACATGCATTTTAATCGAAGGAATAATGGAAGACTACGATGAAGATAGTGGGGAAGGTTCTGATCCCCCGACTAGGTCGTTTCTTCGAAGACGACTTGATGAGCAATCTCGGCAGGTCGAACGGTCGGTCGACCAAAAAATGAACAATTTGCTCGAAGTAATATGAAGTAATGGTGATACACACACTAGATTGCTTGAACTATTGGTCAGTAAAGCTTTTGAAGATGGACACGTCAGTCAACCTCGACAACTTCCATTTATGAGTATTCTATTGCAAGCCGAGATATGATCCGCTTGGCTCCAACTTATTAACTTGGAAAAAAGAAGAGGATCAAGCAATAGATCAGACGGACCCGACCAGGGAGTGGAAACAGCATCCGTCAATATGACCGAGGTCCAAAGGATGATCGACTTGGCCTTAAAAAAAAGGCCGAACTTCCCAAAATTCATCCATCTATACCCGGCTTATGTGGAGAAGTTTGAATATCCTAAAGGCTTCAAGATCCCAGATTTTAGCCTTTTCGCTGGAGAATCGTCCTTGTCTTCATTAGAACATGTAGCTCGGTTCACTGCGCAATGTGGAGATGTTCATAGTGACTTGCATAACCCACGACTATTCAACTTCTCACTAACAGGTTCGACATTTTCCTAGTACATCAACCTCCCACCTAACTCCGTCTAGAGTTGGGAGGAACTGGTTGAAAATTTTCATGAACAATTCTACCGACCGGGGATGGAAATGTCAGTTTCATCATTAGCTAAAATGACTCAAGCATCAGACGAGTCACCAATAGAATACTTAACAAGGTTCAAGTTAGCCAGAAATTGGTGCTGAATACCCCCTGAAGTTGAATTCGTTAGAATCGCTCTAAACGGCCTGGATGTGGAATACAAAAAGAAATTCCTGGGGGCAAATATTCGAGATATGTACGAACTGGCCCAACATGTTGAGGAATATGATTATTTGCTCCGAAAGGAAAAGATCTCAAAATCCTCATCCCAGGGAACGATATACAAGAATCTCACGGTTAGTTACGTATTGGTCGAAAACGAGGATTCCTAATATGCCAGTGTAGACGCAGCTGAGATAATAATTGATAAACCATACATTTGCAAATTAAAACATCAAAAGTCTACACTTTCGATATCACCAAGGCCGATGCAATTTTCGACCAGTTTTTGTTAGCAAAAATCATAAAACTTCGCCCAAGACATAACATTCCTAAGGCCGAAGAGTTGAAAGGCAAAACATATTGCAAGTACCATAACTCGAACAAGCATACCACCAACAATTGCGTTGTGTTTCGTGATGCCATTCAAAGTTGGATTGATAAAGGCAAGCTAAAATTTCCTGAGAAACAAATGGTTGTCGACGTTAATCCCTTTCCCTTGACGACAATTGGCATGGTGTATGCTTATCTGCCTAAAAACAAAGGGAAAGGGAAGGTCGAGTTCATCCTAGTACAACATGTCCTTAAGAAAAACTCTCAGCTATGACTCAAGATTGATTTATTTTCAAATGAACCACCCATGAAGTTTTCAGGACCGGTCATAGTCAAATCTATGTCAGGCTCCAGTACTGAAGAAGCTGATGGACTGATGGTTTTGTGCGGCTATTGTAAAACGCGCGTCGTCCTAACCGAACCTAAAGAGAAAACACCTCAGGCTCCAACTTTATAGCAATCGTCCATGGCCGCAGCGACACCTCTAAAAGAACTCGGTGCCGGCTAACGCCAGAAAGTGTTCGAGAGACTCGGCCCTCAGGAACGAACAAATGGTCCAGCCTCAGCCAGACGACATCTTGACTTTGGCGTTCTATTTTATAATGAGGATTATTACTCGCGTAACTCCAGCAGTTCGAGTTCATCGGTGAGTCAAAAAACCTTCAAGCCACCTAAGCCACTTAACCAACGTTGGTATAGTTACAATTCTCATGTTGGCATGTATACAACATTATCCGAATCTCAAAAATGTCCCCACCAGTGGATAGACTGCATGGCCCAATGGCAGGAAGCACAAGCTAATTCGACTACCAGGTGGTAGCCAAAAAAGGCAGCAGGAAATGAAGATGACTGACTAACCCCGACCATTATGGCCGAATTACTTCAAAAGAAAATAGCAGTTGATCGTGACTTTGAAACCATCATTGAAGAGTCCGTAAAACACATCAAACTCCTTCTTTAGCCTAGGGAGATGAAAGTTCGTCTCTAGCATTTCAGACAAGAAGTCGAAAGCAAGCTTCCCCCATTACCTCCGCAAGAGCCATTAATAAAAGTTCTGCGGAATCTACACCCTTCATTCCTAGGTGAATCCTTGGAGTACATGTGAGAATTTCATAAGAAGCATTCCTCCAATGACTTGTACGGCCTGCCTAAGGCATGTTAAGAAGCTCTCGGCTTGGCACTAACTTGTCCCGATGCTGAACAGATTATCCAGAAAACCACTGATCCAGCATTAAAAGCTAAGTTCCAGCATATATGTGAGGCTCGAGTCCTTGGTTTTGAGGTTAACCCATACACAGACATAGACATCGCCGAACTTCCTTTCTCCCTTGAAGATCTCAAGCATTTGCGTATCATTTTAAAGTCTTCTTGGTCGTATGCCTTTTCGGCCTTACGGCTGATAAGAAAGATGTGGCTTGTTTAGATGCATATCTAGACACATAGAACCAACATTACAAGGACAA